GTGCGCAAATCTCAACATCAGATAAAGCTTCTTTAGACGATTTGAAGATTAGATAGTTGACTCATGACCTTAGGCATGAGAGAGAAAAAAACAGATGTAAATGGAAACTATTTGAATGAATAATTTCATGATACAATTATTTCGGTTTTTACGACAGCTGATTCTTACTTTTCTAAAAAACAGATGCTTTTGATCCCAGAGACACCCTAGTTATTTTTCTTACTCTTTCATCTCAAGCGTATGTTTAACCATTACTTTTACTACAATAACTATATTAAAAAGTACATGGATCCCGAAGTTAAATAAAGCCCGAATATATTTAATTTATCAAGAAATAGCGTAATCCACCAATTTATCAATTATTTTGTTCTGTTTCCTGGCATACACTACATGGTTGTGATCGAACGTACTGTATACATTTATTTACCTGCATTCTGAATAAGTCAACAAATCTACCACACTAATTCAAAATATAAATCGCATGTAAGAAAAGATGCTTTTATGAAAAGCAGGCAGCAAAAGTTCCATTAGTGTGAAATGGAGTTCACATATTCTATAATTAATTCGTTGGTCCTAAACTACGCAACTTCTAAAGCACTACCAGCTCCAGTAATACGCCTTTCCTTAGGAGTCAAGAAGACCCATTTTTTCGATAATATGAAAAAATATGAAAAGTTCATCGGGGAAAATGAATACTTGTAGCCAAGTAAATAATATATGAAGACAATTTCGCAAGGAAACAAAAGGAATGAGCACTTGTTTTACACAACATTCTGGGATTTAATGGATCCTTAAAATAAGAGCAGGAAAAATGTTCAATTCTTCAAAAACAACATGAATTACTTCTTCCCTTTGAAAATTTCGACATGATAATTACACCAGTTCCACTAATTTCTACATCTTCCGTCACCACCAGCTCTCTGCAAAAGTTCTTTTTTCAGAAGAAAATGATGAATAAACAACCAGCATCACTACATCATATTACATCATACCTAATCAAATTCATCAGAGCTTTTTCAACATTAATACCATTCAGGGCACTGCATTCTGCAAACAAAACGCCCATTGTCTAAATTTTTTGAAAATTGCTTTCAATTGAAATATTTCAGTTAAAAGTGGGAAATGAAGCGAGGAAAAGAAAGTAAACCAAAATCAATAACGATTAAAATTAAATGCAAGAAGTGAGAATTCACTGCTACTACCGCTTCACCATCTTCCGTAGAAACGGTTTCGGTGAACCAAGCATCCCTAAGATCGATTTTATTGGCACATATCACGATTAGTATGTGTCTCATCGTTGATTCCTTAAGAATTCTATATCTAAAAGTTGACTGTGTATGTTGTGTTACCGCATAAAAAAAATGTGGTACACAAAAGAAAAATAATAAACAAAAGCAAAATTAGAGTGATAATATCTCCAACATAACATATGCTAGGGAGTGATGATTCTAGAGCTCGAAGCATTCAGTAAGGTTCTTAAATGAACTTTGATTGTCGTAATCCAGTCACGAACATTAAGGGATGAATCCTCAACAGTGCAATCATACACAAAAATACAGCACCAGTTCGTCGAAAATAACTTTTGCATGAACAGTGAAATCTAAAAAAAAGTTGACTGGAAAAAAAAGTGTCAATTATAATATCCTTACAGTAAGATTGGAATGTTATATCTATATCTAATCATATATGGATTTAAGCTAAACTATAATTGTAAGTTGAGTAAGCTGAAGACTAAGAAGTGGTTTACCAAGTGTTCGAATCGTAATTCTTGAAAAAGTTTAATGATAGAGTTGAATTTTTTCTTCGTTTGGTGAATGACCGAACTTATGTTGATAGCGCTAAAAAACGATGCCATTCTTGACCAACTGTATCCCACAACTATACTGCAACACTTTTCCCATCGATGTTGGTAGTTTTTACATAAAAACCAATTCCTAAATTTTGTTATTTCCTCATTTCACTGTTGATTCCGAATACTGTTTTAATTAAAGTTTCGAAAGTCTTTAAATACTACATTTGCATTTACAATTTGTAAACGAACACACAAACGCACTGCGCCTAAAGGAATTTAAATCTCAAACTTTTTTGAAAAACACTTTTCATTACAAAAAGCATAAACTCACCGAGAATACTGTGCAATTTCCCGGAAAAAGTACCCTGATAATTCTAGTGACTATCGATAATTTATCTACTGCAGTTTTACTACGCATAACTACTCGAAAAGTTCTATCAGGTGAACCATTCGATTCTTCATACTCCTAAGCAGCAATTTTCATACGTTTATTTCACTGAGACTTTTGAGATATTCATTACATAAGAGTTCACGGGTATAATATATTTTTACGCTCTAGACACCTCAGAAAATACGTTAAACATGCTATAATTGCTGCTGGTCTTCTATTTTCGCAGTTAATCGGTAACGAACTTTTACATCTCCGCTCTAATTTATTATTCGAAAAGCGGCATGCTATGATGTTGGGAACTTATTTGACAGTCATAAACTGTGACAGGTTGTTTATTCGATAACATTCAAATTTTGGATGACTTTTATAAAGTACTTATTCTTGTCTAACCAATTGTGTATTATGTAAAATTCACCACCCAAAGACATTACCATTTAATCAGAATGTCATTCTTCATCAGTATCATATGCGCTAAAAGCTCTTTTCGGCTTCGCACTTGAACTATCAAATAAAAATTGTGCAGTTAATGAAGTAAACTGAAGAAATAAGATTAAGGGATATTAGGAACTGAATACGAGATATATAAAGGATGATTTTACCACAAATACAAGAGGAATATGTGGTAGTAAAGTTTACTGCTCATACCTATCTCATTATTATTTCTTAAGCTAGAATATACTATGTCCATACTAATTATCTTGTGTCCATACTAATACAAAAATTTGGAACTTTCGAAAATATACTGCAATCAGACGTTTCCAAGAACGCTGTTCTTGGATTTCTTTGCAAAAGCTGACAACAATCTTTTCAAAACGACTCAACACTTTCGGCATATCAGTTGACTGGAGTTGCGTCGTAGAGCTACAGAGTCTCATCTCGGCTCGGAATTAACTTGCTTAGCAATATCCATCATGAATCATAAAGTCGAGTATGGGTAAACTGCCACAGAAAACTGTTCGTGCACGATTTTTTGCTATATGCTGGGATAGCATGATACAGTACTGAATATTCTGCGATATAAGTTCAAGAAGTCATTAACAAACCGTAATGGTTTGATTCATCCCACGAGTGCGCAAAATCACAGAAACATATTCTAGACATTTCTGCAATACTTTGTCGAGAGCGGTACAAAGAAAAATTTTTTCCTAATATGCAAAAGGATTTTCTGAACATTGATGAGAGTGACGAACAAAACTATAAAATGGACCAAAGCAAGTTGAAATCAACAATTGGATTTGTTCCCGAAATAGAACAATATCTTTCTGCGTTTTGCTGATCGATTTATTGATTAAAATCTCAATGTAATTTTATTTAAGAATCTTTCCAGTATTGAGTTCATTATGGAATCATTGAAGATGCTCAAAAACCATTACCACCGGATAATTAAATTCAGCCAAACATTTATATATCATGTCTGACGCCAAAGAAATTGAACTGCTTTTCGATTAATTTCTATGACACTCCCTCGTCTCTTTATTCATGGATATCCTGAAGCAGTAGGTATCATTAGTCTCCTTTTAATTTAAAAGAAAAAAAATATGTGTATGTATATGTAAAGGTAAAGAAAAGAACGATAAGATTAAAACATAACACAAAAGATATACAGGGAGAGAGGACCACGATTTTCTCCGTGACAGAGAGCGTTTTGAAAGCCATCCAAAAACTCTGCACGATTAATACGTTTCGACTTATCTAAATCTAGTGTTGTGAATATAAAATTTATTTCCTGAAAATCATTCATGTTCACAAACTAGCTGTCATTTTGGAGCACCATAAATCACTAATACTTTAAATTCGAATACAAGCAAAATAGTAAATATATGTAAAAAGAAAAAAAAGAATTTTAACGTATGCAGAGAATTATATACCTCATCGTCAAGCTGCGGACAAATGGTTTGGAGATCACGAGTTATCAGATATCCTTTTATCTTGATGTCTTGATCACATGGATCGAACAACTTTTTAGATTGCATCATTATATGGTCCATCATTTTAATCCAGTCTTCTAGAAATCATTCACTGTTCATAATTTCGTCTCAAAAATTACAGGTCATTTTGAAGAAGTCCATCATCATCATTTAGCATGTAAAATTTGGAAAAACGGAAATTCATGAATTTTTTCCCGATCAACGCAAATATCGATTAAATACAGTCCGTCCAATAACTTGGTATAATACTATACTAAATAAGTCTCACAAATTTCAGTGAAAAGTCCGTTTAACGTATATAAAGACCATTTTATAGCGGGAAGGAAAGTAACAGCTCTCGAGGAAAAGGAAACAATCCTAGAACTGCGATACGGTAAACCACCCCTTGTTAGCCTCTTACTCTGGACAATATTTATTGAATTACCGTTTGGATCATTTTGACAGTAATGCTTCTTTTACGAAAGATCGTTTGATTCATAATGTAACATTTTCGGATGGAATTTACCTAGATGGAACTATGCTATATTTTATGAGATATTTTAAAGTTAATATAAATTTTCAATCTTTCAGTTTTCAATAGTTACCTCTGATCTCCTATTTCGTTACTACATAAAAGTGGCGTTTTGCCAATCGAATCACAGACATTTAATCCGAAACATAGAGCAAATGAAGAAAAGTGCTCATTATTTAGGATCAGTGTTAATAATAAATGTATCCAGTTTGTATATTGCATAGTGACATAGGCCTTTGAAAGCATGCGATACATGCGATAGCATGCGATATGATCGATACGCTTAGTTCCATCATATTTTACCTTTTCTATTCCTCAAAATGTGGCAAATCTGAACTATTTTAGATCCCTTACTTTGGGTACCAATCAAGAAGGGGGAAAATAAACGGCTTGCAGCCTTTGGGCCTTAAATCATCGCTGTTAGATATTAATTTTCTTTTATAAGCTCGAAATATCATGAATTTCTATGAGGTTATAACTCTAATAACATGCAATAATGAGTAGACAATCATATAGAAGGTAGCGATGTTGCTGAAACCGGAAAATATACAGTGTGTAGCATTGCGTACCTCCGAAGTAACTGGTGAATCGAACCTAGCTGCCTCTGATTAAAATATTATTGTGTTATTATCACCGAAGCGACAATAGCTACTCCGATACAAGTAGAGCAGACTTCTTGTTTTGATTGCGTACCTTTATTCACATGTTTATCAACTGATCAGTAATGATCTACGCTAAAATCATGGATCGTGGAGCTCGAAATGACGTTTGAATCATTACAAAAAAATATGGAACAATATTATATGGGAAATGGTTATGCTCTCAGGATAAACTGATCCCTAAACTATTCTATGTGATAAGGATGAAAACTAGAACGAGCTCTCAGTTCAGTTATTAAAGATTTAATTGTCATCTCTTCGCAATGTCACAAGCGCCTTCTCATTCTAATGATTTGAATATTAAGTTTTTTTTATTATCCGGAACTAATGTAACTGCACGATATGTACTTACACTGTTCCAAGAATTAAAAAACACTAAAAACAACGCGAACATATGCTTATAAAATATACGCGAAAAAGAACAAGATAAATAAAAGGTCGGGACTACAGATAGTTATTGTGACGTAATCGCCGTTGGCGTTTTCATGATTTTTCGAGCGCGTAAACCAGCTTGGTGACAGAACATTATTTGGTCCCATTTCGCCAAGCACACGACCAGATCTCTGCGTAGTGACCCCGCACCCCACGGTTGAAGAGGTTGTGCCTGGAAACATTTAGCCGAATCGTTCACTTTTTTGTTATTTTTCTAGCATAAAAAATTCGGCAACGAATGTCCATATAGACGTTTTAGAAAACTGAATAATAAGATTTAATAAGCCCTTTGAATGCACACGACAAGAAATTGCTAACAAAGAGGTGGCTATAATATAATAAGGCAATTAGAATTAAAAGCTAATTGTGAGGTTAGGATCTGAGGCCAGTTATGACAGTTAGAATCAGAGACTAATTGTGTAATTGATTGATCCAGCATCGTTTAGGTAACGCTATCATATCAAAGTTTCGCAGGCCATGTTCAAACTCAATTTACTCAAATCAAACGGCAAAGCTTAATAATATTGCAGTGCAAACCTAATCCAAGTAATGAGAGAGTCCATTGAATTACGTTTTTACTGTTAGTAAGTAGAAGGAAATGAGGAAATAGATTAAAATTTGTAGCGAATACTTGTGGTTTGCACATTTGCAAGCATTGCGGGCCGATTTCATGAACACCCATATCTCGACAGCAGGCTGTATTATCATGCGTTTGAGCGGCACAGTGAATTATTGAACTCAGATATTTATACAAACGACATCGGGATGGTTGGATTGCATGCATTAACTGCAAAATTTCAAACTACGATAAAATTTTAACAAATAAATTTGCAAATTCCTTCCTTTATCACTTCAATATTAAGTTAACTTATGTTCTGCAAGAAAAGATCGCTTAGAGATGAAAAATAAGGAAGAATATTTACAATAACTCGTGCTTCAATAGGATTACTTTCGTAGATACATAAACCGCGGCATTCCGGTGGCGCAGACCGGTCACAGCACGCTCCGAAAACTTGGTCAGCTATTTTCCTCTCAATGCATGGTTTCCATTCATTCGCTTGATTACCACAATCCTGAAATCCTACACATTGTGAGCAAGTTTTCAGCACATAATGAATTCCATGAACTTCAATTCCAACTTTGAAATCTTGATATCTGGTGACTTTTGTAGCGGTAATTGTTAACGATTATATCTTAGATGATGTGAAAGCAATATAAATTCCGAAATTATAGTCGATACAACTACAACGAAATCCCTATTTGATAGATCATGAAACTGCTGCCAAATTTTACTCCTTCTTAATTGATTTCGAGAAATTTAGGAAGGGCATTTTCACTTAACCTATGTCACTATAATGTCTTCCTCAAATCAACGTGCAGAACAAACAAATACATGGGAGAAAAATTAGTGGAAGCAATAGCCTTACAGAATAACTTATTGGAGAAAACGACAATGCTATCACTGCGACTTACAGCAACAGAATCTTTGCCGATCAGAAGAAGGGAAGAAGCATATCTCCTTAGAGATATTTATCTTCACATTTACGAAGAAAACAAAAATGGTTTGCAAAAGAAGACAATTAGAGAGAAGAAAGTTAATTTAAAATACAAAGCTGTTCATTTCTTCATGGACCATTTTCGCGCTTTCCACACACATCCTGACCTCATTTTAAACAGTGTTTATTAAATAACAAATTTATCGTAAGTGTGGTTCCACTGATAATCTCTGAAAACAAATGTAAATACATAAGTACATATACAAATATATAAAGAAACGAATAAATAATAAATAGAAAAACAAATAAATCAATTTATTAGTTAATTAATTGATAAAAAAATGTATATGTGTATGAAAGTCATTAAAAGAGGTAACAAGGGTTAAAGCTCGCAGAAACCCATGCCTCTAATCTTCAATGTGCCGAAAATAAATACTTGTATCATTAAGAAAAAGAAGGAAAAAACTCCACTTTCCATAAATTAAGCGGAATATTTTTAGCAATGTACGAATAAAAAGAAAAAAACTGAATTATTCGACCAAAAAACTACTTTGATTTAACCGTGCCAACCATTTACAAATAAGACATAAACCACCAGTAGCTTAATGAGAAAGTGCAGTAAGAAGGTATTAAAATCAATTTTTCTGAGGTTATGTACTGAAGTGGAAAAATTTGTAAAAAAACAACATTGGAAACGAACGATGAATGAATGGATCAAAAAGTTGGAAGAGAAAATTAAAGCAAAGAAATAAGCAAAAAATTGAATGATTACCGAGGACAAGTTAAGTAGGAAGGACCATATTTGAGACAATTAGTAAGTTAAAACAAATGAAAATGAAATGATCGTTGACAGTCTCTTCAATCTACTCCCAACAAATCAGAATTCACGCAAACACATTTTATTTTTCTGTTCACGATCAATAATAGGTACAAATTAAGGATTTTTCAAGTCTAATGAGCTGTTAAGATTTCATAAATTCTTTCCTTTATTTTCTTCTAAAATCCAATCATATACGTTATGTCATACTGTAGCACAGAGATAAAGAGCGGTAATGCATCTCAACTTCAGGGGTTTCAAGTAAACCGTAGAAGGTTAGCACTGTCGATTCATAAACCAATTCTAGCAGGAACTGTTATTGCTGGAGATCTATCTAACGGACATATCTAAAAGATAGTTGTAGTAGTGAACAAAAACGAAACATTTCTGTGTTAGAGATTTGTCAACGAGGATGATGAACTAAAGGTTCCTACAGGGAATCGAGAAGGACTCTCGTGCAGGTAGTAGAAAATGGAAGAAACTCAAATAAATGCAATAAAAATTTACTATTATATTGAAGAGTAATGAAAAACTTTCAGCAGTATTATATAGTAGCATTCAACATTGCTATAATGAAGATATAATATTGCTGAAGGCTTAATGGAAATAGATGAATGCTCTGAGGATTTAATTGCAAAATAGCGGGAGCTGAATTGAAATTGATTTATGAAATCTGAAGGTTAACATATTTGTCGGTATACTAAATTTTCGCTCCAGAGAAGCAGGAGAAGAAAAAATTACACGGAAATGAAGGTATTGCAGTTAGCATAAGTATCATCAGAATACAGATCTTTTTCTAAATTCAATGTTAAAGCTCGTTCAAATTTCTGCAGGTCTGCAGTGTTGTTAACTGTTAAAAAAAGCAGAAGAAGCTATTGGGAGGGGAACATCAGTGGGAATAGATATCTAAGCCTGAATTTACAGGTGTTACAGAAGGATTTAAAATCCATTTCAGTTTGTTAAAAGTCGTTGTGATTGCAGAAGAAGTGAAATATTCAAGCTTAGACTCTTGGAATCAAGTTTGGACATTACACATGGATCAAAGATGTCGTAAAAAAGTGATGACTTTTCGGGTGGAAAAGTTTATAATTCAAATGATTTACCGCAGGAAAAGAGTAGTGGCAACATAACACACCTTTCCGAGCATATATAGTTTAGAGTTTTGATAAATCAAAGAACTTCAGACAGTTTGAGTGGTGTTCTTTGTGTAGCAATTCCTTTTTAGAAAAACACAAAAAGTACAGAGGTGATGTTTGAAATAATTAGAAAACTTACAGTAGGGTTTTCGAATTCTTTAATTTCGTATTGCTTTGATTCCACAATTACCATTGGTATTGATAGTGCAAAGATAAGAAAAGTTTTTTTGAACATACTAAACTGAAAAAAAAGTTGCACATAGAAATTCCGGGCGTTCCAAGATTCATTTTGTTTTACTTGCTCATTCGCGTGATAGTGAACGGATGATAGAAGCGGTTAGATTAATAATTAGTTTGATTTCAGGATATTTCACGCGACCAAACAACGGCCATCATGATCTAATAACGATCATGATAATCTGATAAATTGCTAATGTAAAATCAATGTGGAAAAAGTCAAATTACTAATATGTTCATGTATTTGGAATGTTCAGAAAAAAATTCGATAATGTTCGCTCATACAACTGAGTATTGATAATAATCACTTTAACTTGAACTACTGCCGCCTCCCTTAATTTTTTCAAAGAAGCACTTCGAAGTTCGTTTGGGACCTACCATACTGTTAGACCGATGTTTAACAATCCTTTCCACCTAATTACCAATGTCGAACATAACTTGTTACGCCTTACAAGTATTCCAAAATAATGTCGACTTTTAATAATGTTCATATCTTCTTGATTCAACACTATGATAAATTCCAACTGAATTTCATGTATTAGTGAGATTCAGTTGAAATTTATCTTAGCGTTGAATCTCGCGTAATAGATACGACATTAACCAAGAAAGTGGTGGGAACGGTAATGCACGTGTAAGAGAACTAGACTGACTGTAAACAGCTTATGTGTCTACAGTAACTATAAGAAAGTTGAATTGAGGTATGTGGAGCAATTAATAATTTAGGAGCAGTTTGGGAAAAAATCTGTCAAAGGCATCGAGAGAAATGTTGACTGATTATGAAAGGATTTTGCTTCCTAATAAATTGCTTTCTATAATGAAAATTTGAACTTGTTATTGCTTAGATGTTTAGTTCCAAAAATTCAAATAATTTAAATAACAACTGTTTTGATCTGCTAACGAATTTATTCGAAATGAATCTTTCATATGTTCTCTTAGTGAAGACAAAGATTATTTTTAAACGAAGATGAAATCAAGCATGCAAAATACGCTATTGGTAAGTTGTACGGCATATACAAAGAGTAATCGTAAAAGATAAGCTGTCGATATCATAAAGAACACTTACAAAACCATCATATCAATAAGCTGAAGGGTTCCAGGTAAATCCTGAGTATAACCTGTGCTACAGCCCAGGGAACACTTAGATCAAAAGTAAGTACTTCTGAACTTTATAGATAGTACATGTAGAAGTTCGAGTTGTCTAACTGGTATGATCTGAAATGAGCTTCTACTTTCTATAAACAAACAGGAAAACCAAACATTCCGATTAAAAAATAGTACAAAATTCGAGATGTTAAACTTTCTAATCCTTTTTTCCTTTTTCTCTAAATTTTTAATGATATTTGTGTGTTGTTTTTTTGTAGTTGCGGAAGTAAAAGTTATGAAACAGCAATCTGCATCAGATCTATGAAATGAACTGGTTTTAAACATTAAGATGGCATTAAAGGAAACTTCTCAACACTGCACTAAAATTGATAAAAAAAGTTCTTTAATTTTGCTTGTTTATTTCTGTGATCGGCAGGGGTAATTGAAATTCAATAACTAAATGAAAATGATACCCATATCATTCGGCGATACTATTTGTGGTTAGCAATCTCTCTAATTAGTAGGCTTATCCCAACAATTAATCAACTGATGATCCAATTATTTTCGTTTGTCATGAGAAAATATGCATCATATTTAATGGCAAATATCAGTTCATTCGAAAAAACAGTGAAGATTGGGGAGAGTGTACCACACTGCCGGAGATTTTATAGATATCAATCAGTTTGCATTCATTGTGAACCTGAGCTGATACTGTGATAACTTTATCCAGGCGTTTCTTTGCATGTGCGCGTGTTATTTCATTCATGGATATGAGGGAATGTTTGTTTGTGTTCCAGAAAAAACCAAAGGTGATGGAAATCAGTGCGATATGCAAAACACGAATAATCTTTCATCAAACAGAACTTCTTGAGGATAAGGGGAAAAAGTTATTAATTACAGTGGGAATATTCCAGTCGAATTATTCCTAAGCACAAAGGATAGCTAGATTTAAAAGATTCTCATGAAGAGTGACCACTCTGATCACGGTAGTAGGACTCTTAGTTCTACATTTAGAAAATCTGCATTATATTTGCTGATCGATTACATAAAAGTCTTAGACAGTATTTTGTTTGTCATTTGCTATAAGGATTAATGAGTACTATGCAGGAAATGGATCTAGACATTTCGACAGAAATCCAATCGTTCGCTCCTTTCACTCTTGTATCAATTGGAAAAGCTGTAAGAAATGGGGAAAATTGTTACACTATTCATTAAATGCCTCGAGTTGGTGTGGGAATAAGAAGGGTACACATTTATAATCAACAAAAAACATAGCATTGCTTATAAAATTCTGTAAGAACTTGGTGCAAGAAATAAGAAGGTCTGAGAACCGCATACGTCCAAGACTATGGCCTTGAAAGAATTGATAATTACGATGATTTGAATCGATAAATGAATATCAATCAATTTCCAACTGTGTCTAACCGAAGAACGATGAACGGCTGGCAGAGATGTAAATTCGGCGTTACAGATGACCTGATTCATGGTGCTGCAGATGACCTGATGAGAACAAACAAGAGAAAAAGTACTCATCTTTCCCACATCACTTGTTTAAAATGATCACTTGCAATAGATAAACAGGTTACTATTGAAAGTAGCAGTAGAATTTCATCGTCACGGAGAGAACAATGCTAGCTGAATCTTTTCGTAAACACAAAGAAATCAGATAACACATCGTCAAGTGAACAGCGCATTACAGTTCTATACGAGAGTGAGCAACAGATGTACTTGGCTTGGTAGGCTTTTAAGTCATTACTTTCAATAAGCAATATAGGAAAGTTTGAACACTTTTCACAGTATCGACAAAATCACACTAGTGGTTGAAGCAATCTCGGCAATGCAACGTTCGACCCAGTGGTGACCATCGACATTATTTCATTAATGTTGCTAAGCCTACCAGTCATTCGCATTGGCTACATAACATTAATTGTTTGGAGACTCAAGCCGCATGGAAAATTTTTGAAGATTCGTTTCTAGCAATACATTAATTCCTTGCAGAACAGTATTGGATTTGCAAAGCACATAATGTGTTACATTAATATTACATACTACATCAAACAACATAGAGGTTATCAATTTAAAAGAAAACAATAATTGACAACCGCCATAAATATCTGAAAGTAAATAACTGATGTAAATAAATTTTATTTACTAACATTATTTTATTTGCAAGTATTGATAATATTTTCCTGTAGTTATTAGAGTCTGATTATGAATGAAGTGATACTGAAATAGTTCTCATCCACCATTCTACGTACCTGAGAATAAAGAATATGAAATGTTAAAACTATTCAGGTTGGAACCTTGTCAGTAAATAAATGCATAAATTAGTCCAGCAAAAGAACTAATCTATTTTAAAACTAATTCCTACTTTATTACAGAAGAGAAAAATATTTCAATGTGAAATTACTATACATTGAGTTCATTTATTGATAGAAAGTCTGCTATATTCATTTTGCGATCTAAAAAAATTGTATGTTTTTCTCTTTATGGCCTCTTTTTGATATGTATTTTTAAGCCCACAGTTATTGTCTGTTGTGACCGCTAACAAACGTTTAAAACTGAATTTGTGCTTAAGTTTGCAACACTTTGATATTTTTACTTTTTTAAACTCTTCCATTACTGTCAAAATACTTTTAGAAACAGATAAAGCTAATGGATAAAATACTAGCATTATACTCTATTCGTTTTCAAGTTTCTACTTCAAGTTGACCTGTATTAATGCAGATAGTGATAAGACGCTGGCTTCTCTCATTCATTTAAATTCATTTCAATTTATTTGATGAAACTGAGAGGCGGGAGTTCGTGCATATGCAATGCAATGAGCAAAAAGCAGAAAAATATAATCTGTTATCTCAAGCAACTATATGTCACAATTTCAATTTCAGCAATGAAAGACTGATGAAAATGACCAATAAAGGAGGGATAGGATGGGTCACAGAAACAGTGGGTGAAACGTCTTTGAAAATTCGACGAAATCATAAATAGAAATTAACATTGTTCCATAATCTATCTGTCCAAATGCTGCCAGTTTCAACAATAAACTGTATATAATGTCCTATATGTTGTTTCACTTCCTCTGTCTTTCCTGTTTTCTGTATAATTTGTTGGTAAATAATTCTTTGATGGCGTAAACACTGGAACAAGAGGGCAGATATTTTGCAAGAATTCCAAATTGGCAACATGTAATATCATGTTGATCGAAACTCTTAGTTTTTCGTTTCTTAACATTTAGAATATAAAATTAGCATTTTGACTCTATAATTTAACAGTGAAACAATGGGTCCACTTTACTTATACTGCTTTGACACCTTGTTTGTCCAAAAGGAGGAATCTGATCATGTGGTGACGGCCAGCACTTCAAGTTTCATCATGAGATAAAATGAAGTTAGAGATTAAAAAAATTGCTTAGTTGCTTATTAACACTTTCTTCAATTACAAAGGCGGAGGCATATAACGAAAAAAGTAATCGGAGGAATTGTCGTACTTTTAGCAACATGACTTGAAAAGCAGTCAAAAATGTATTTTTGAAACAGGGTAAACATAATGAAAGAAATAAAATATCATGTCGAAGTAGATCTGGCAAAAAATCTGAGACCGGAAAAATATAAGGCAGCGAGACGTCTTAACGGTATAGAAGTATTTGGTGAATTTCGTACATCGTATAAAATATTGAATAGAAACCTGTTCCGCAAGGCTACACTGTTACTCTACCTCTGTTACGCTTTGCCGTTACTAAACCAGATTCCAAATAAAGATAATTTTGAATGAATAACCATGAAAAGTCCCTGCTGATGGGAGATCATGACTTCCTACTATTCTTTATCAGGTCATTTGTTCAGTGGTTCAGTTTTGGCTGAGACATTTCTTGTGCCAGCATTCATTACACTATAAAAAATCGCCCCCACTTCAGTTCAAGTAACTATCATATGCTACATTGATATGCCCGATCATTTCTAATTAAATAGGAAAAGCTACTACTATTTATACATAAATAAATTAAATATGACCTATGTTGGCCAGAAAAAGCAGAAAAATAAAACTTACTAATAATTTAAATCAATCAAAACTAAACAAAAAGAAAGGAAAAAGAAATGAAAACTAAAAGACGAACGAAAACCCTTATTAAGTAATAAAAAGCAAGCAAATAAATAGAAAAAAACAATTTTATCGGAATAACTTTAAGCATAAGCACATATTCCACCAATAAAAGCATACCTATTACCATTAAAAATACCAGGTATTATAATAAAAGACATAGAAACGCCCATCCAACAAAACAGAAAATACCAGAACACTCAAAAGTTAACAAATAAAAAAAGAGTAAAGTAAATCAAGAAAGCGATAGTGAAATTCAACAACACTAATTAATATCCGTGTTTTTTAATTGGAATGATAAGGATTTTCGTGGAATTTTCACATTCTGGAACTTTAACTGGATGTTATACCGTAAATTAAGGAGTACAAACTTTTCAGCACAAATTTAGTGGAAAAAAGTGCACTTTTATCCATGTAAAATTGAAATATTAGTTAAAATGTGAAAAAGTCCGAATTTTGAAAAAAAAAATCAAAATCCGAAATTTTCAAAATCCGAATTTTGAGGAAATCAGGTTTAGGCTGCAGCTCCTACCGGACAATTTAAAAGGCATGGTTAGATAATTTTATGCTTATTTGGCTAATTTCATCGACGAATAAAATCAGCACTATTAAGAGAGGAAAAAATATATAAGAAACAGTTCTTAGATTACAAATGGCTATTTTGGACTATCTCTTACGTCATTTAAGTTATACAATGTCGTCCAGCGTCGTCCAAGAAAGTATCTTCATGCCCGCTCTTTTTTTCTTAGATGTATCTTTTAAGTAAAAATCGACCACTCAGTGTCCAATTTCATTAACCTAACCTATATTTATATCGTTGCAAAGTGCAAGTTATCAAACTTATCTCTGGGCACAATTCAAAATATGAGAGAGAAGAAATTTTCAAAACTGTATTCGGTTGAACAGGTCTTTCATTTGAAGTTATGAATTCCTGCCGAAACTGAAGATTATGGTTAGAGTGAAATAAATAGGAGTAGTTTTCAAAATAAATCGAGGATAATCCTGTTAAGGTTTCTGTCACTTGGGCTTTGTAATCTTAAAGTTTATTTGTCTCAGTAGCAGACAAGTAACAACTGCGCACAAATGATTACTGTCTAATTACTGTCTATTTGAAATGAACTTCGAGAAAATGGTTACTTACAAAACTCAACCAGAAATCTATCCAATTCCATTTTCGTAATTTGGAAGAATTTTATGGGAAATGGGCTGAAAGCTACATCTGCATAAGGGATTGTAAAAAAAGATGAAAGGATAGATAGATATCAAACCTGGAAGCTGGAGGAGTAAAGACAAACATGCTGATTGATAAATACTGTTTTTGGACAAAAAAGGAGAACGAATAGTGATATAAGAGATACGGAAAATAAATTGATGATCAACAGGAGATCTTGATGATCAAGTTGAAATTAGAATGAGTGCAAAATACCACAACTGAAAGGAGAGGATGGAGTAGGATGATGATTCGACGTTATTCAAGCAAGGTCTTCGTGAAATCGAAAAAAAAAAAATACCAGCTAAATAAGGTAAGCAAACCAGTTAACTGTAAAAATCCAGTTAAGTGTTGAACGATTTTAATGTGCTGCATTCCTTTTCATACATGTCTAAGTTGAACAATTCTTTTCTAACATATGCATTCTGATGTTCCTGGTGGATCGTCGAAATTAAAAAAAGTATGTTTTGAAGGAATGAAACATGTAAAATGAATTATAGCATTACAATTGGGTAAAATATAGAACTTGAAATAAAGAAAAAAAATTTGTGAATCCGAATAGGCGTAGAAAGCTTGAACCCCTACTGAACCCCATTTTCAGAAGGTATGCCCATTAATGAAGGCATCATTATAAGGAAAATCAACGAACTTATCAAGCTCGTTCGTGGCATGTAACTTCCTTAAGGGTTGTGCCATAATCACTGCCCGATGTTTTTTGCAAAATAAATTGCTAATAATCTCTTTAAAATAATAAAACAAAATAATCTCTAAAATAATAGTAACTAATGTTATTAATATCTTTAACGACCTTCTCATGGAATGGGATATTCTGAAATCAGGAATATCGTTTTGAGTGCTTTTGACAAAATTCCAGTCTTGCAGTGTGATCATGACATTCTGAACTGTGGAGTATGGAATTCTTGCGGACAGCAGCAAACCGCTGCTTCTTAGTTCCTCTTGTACAAACGAAATATTTCTGTGTGTATTATCAAAAACTGGCGCGAATAATCCGGAAGCTGCATATGCTGCAAGCATTCATTACCTAGGATTCTGATTATTGCCAAAATGAACATTTTTAAATGTAATCGAGGTAAGAAATGTTAGGTTTCATTTGTCACTATGGCTGATCAGTTATGCTTAAGAGTACAACATGGTACATGCTACATCAAAATTTTCGCAAAATTTTCCACTGAAGAACCATGTTTCAGGATGCCTATTTGTCAGGAAACTTCAAAATTTAGGATTGCTTTAAATATTTAGAGAAGTAACGATTCTTCTGTTGAATTTACAATGATACGGAGTAAAAGAATCTAAACATTATCAACAGGAAGACAGAAAAGCAAGTTTCAAGAAAGCTGCAAAGACTTCGTAGTACATCGATTAAGACAAACCAAATGAATTGGATTACTCACAGAAACATATTAGAATACTAATTCAAAAAATGGTTGTTGGCTTATATCAAGGATAGGTTTAAAAGGAGTCAAAAACGAGCATATCCATTGTCAGACCATGAGAAAAGTTTTGTACTGAAGTACAGGACATTGCTGATGTTTCCGGTGATTACAAAGTAAGCCATTATTTAGCTCCTAAAAATGTGATATTATTTTGCAAATCAACTGTAAAATTTGTCCCATACAATGTCCATCAATTAAGTTTATCTCAGTCTGTGAACTTAAATTTCGATTTAAAGATGGAAGTTTTTTTGTTACAGTCGAATGGGGTAGAATAAATTCATACTGTCGTGCACGATCTTTCCTAATATAAGTGAAATGAAACTATTGCTTTCTCCTAATTCGTCGTTCTCAGTTTTTAAGACCAACCTAACGACTCTTCTCAAGTCAAGATAATTGTGAATCCGTTCGGGAGTGCTGCTGTTTTCCATTATGCACCACTAACCTAATTAGGTAGTGGTCATTCGATCATTTTCCGTAGCAGTAGGTAGCGCAGAACTATTCCTCAATTTTCGCCGCATTCCCAGCAACTACGCCTTTCTTCTCACTTACTAGTTG